GCAGGTTTGAAGATCAAGCAACTGGTAAAACTCAAAAGAGAAGGGAGTTGATATGTATAGGTGAATTTTTGGGCGGCTAAAATACTTGGCTCTAATTACCTCGATAATCGGCAGAAGGCGTGCTAAATCATAAGGGGACGCGTGTTCTAGGCATTAAATGTGGAGATGCAGACGTCTAATCAACTGTCAGTGACGTAAAAAAGGAATTATAGTACTTCCCGCCAAAGGAGGATTCTCACCAACTTCTCGGTAACACAAAGTTATGTTACCGGAAAGCAGGGGGATTATCTGTATTGGGTAAGATATGGTATGTTACGTGGCCATCTGAGAAGGGGACACATGGAGTCAAAACCGGGAAGGATGAAAAATCGGGCACAACTACCTCGTGTGTCACCGAAGAAGGCAAGTTCGTAAGGGCATTAAGCATGTTGCGCCCGATAACATTTAATGAAGAATATTTCACAGCATTAAAGAGTAATGGCTCATTAATGAGATTTGAGCATTTATGTTTACCGTTAGGTTTTCATTATCACACTCAAATAATTATCATTAGTGGTGGACTCGGCCATTATGCTCACTGAGTTATAAATAATAGGCTCGGCCATCATTGTAACGGGGATTTTTCTGGAATACATTCGATACATTCTATATAGCAATATGATATCTTTTTCTCTCTCTTGTTAATCTTATCATCATTGCGCCCGAAAACCTTGTTTCCGCACTCTTTGAATCTATCATTTCATCTACATTTTGAGCTGAGTATCTTACATATCAATAGATTAATTCATTATCTTTGGGATCAAATTGACTCATTTGTCTAGAAACCACGAACAAATTTAACTGTACCGATTTACCGGTAAACATATATATGATTTTTTTCATCAATAGATCCAATTTCATAAAAAATAAATTGATGATATTTAATTTAAGAAAGCACTAGCGCTTTTATGTGTGATTTTCACAATTGAAGTTGAGAAAGTGTGTATGTATGTATATACTAGTATCTTGCACATGCGTTGCACGTATATTTCGAGTCATGTAGTACACACATATGTAAATAATATCAATATTATTAAAATCGAAGGTTTGATTAACTATACATGAAAGAATATAAAGTACAAGTTTCTTAGAAGCATTTGATATTTTTTACTTATTTTGATTTTGAAAGACTTCTTTTTCAGGGGGAGAATATTGAACTTTTTTGGTAAACACCTACTTGGTAGCATATTGATCCGTTCTACTTTCTTCATGTATGATACAATTGTCAAATCTTATATAAATCATCCTTGTGTAGTTGCATAAGCCTTTTGAAGGTTCCATATTTCTAAGTAGCATGTTAATTGTTAAGTACATTTTCTTTCAAATACACTAAGTATATACACACATATATGGAAAGAGGAAAAAAGCAAGATAGGAAGAGAAATATAAAAGGCATGATGGGTGCAATATTAAATCTATAAGGAAAAAGAGTAAAGTTTTCTAGAAAAGTACAGTCCAAACAAACATCAAAATTAAAAAGTTCAATCCAAGTAAACAAAAAATTGTACAAACAAAGTATTAATTAACTTAAGCAAAAAGTTACTCGTCACCGAGTAAATCCTCTCTATGTAAATGATGTTGACTAAAGGAGAAAATTTTCTTTGTTAAGCATGTCACACAAAATGATCCATTCCCCATGTACTAAGACTACACAATAAATATTTTACCTTAGCAATTTTGTTTTATATTGTTTTTATATTTTAGCATGTTAAAACATTAGCTCATAATTAAATAGTCTGTTTAGTTTATGAGTAATTGGACAAATATATTAATTGAATAATAAAATTATTATTATGAATTAAAACATATCAATAAGCCAAATTAAACTCAGTTAGGTGTTTCAACCATTTACACACATGTAGAGTAGAAAAATAAATCTTAACTTCGAGCATGAATCGCGTGATTAGTATAATTAATTTATTCTCTACTATGAGCAACGTTTCTCAAGTGTTTAAATTCCTCCAAGTCTGTCTCTCGAAGGCGATAATTTTGACCCCAAAAGGAATCTGTTGCAAGATTATCCTGTATACGTTTGTGTTTTTAAAACCCAACATTGAAAGAGAGAATTGTTCTAACTTCTATAGACCCACTATTAATGAAGAAAACGGTTGAAAGATATTAGTTTTAAGATGGTATCTACAATTACTTTAACATCCTTCAACAATTTAAAGAGCTTCATCCGAAACATCATACATCGTAGTGTGGAGGCTGCCAGCAAATTCTTTTTGTAGCCAAAACTAAAAATGTGTATTGCATCGATATTGAAGGTTAAAAAAATTTCCCTTAAACTATGTGACAACACTTGATCTTTGTGCAGCCTCTTAAGGAATTTTGCGGTTGCCACAACTCAGAAATCATTTTTGACTTTCGTAGTTTTGAACCAGAGAAGAAATAACATACTAATACACATATTTCCAAGTTTTTCACTTTTTGTAACATTTTCTGATTTTTTTGATAATCGTCAATTAAAAGAGACATTTTCTTAATTTTTGTGGTTTATTAGAATAGAACCTAAATTGTTTATTTCTTAAATTTCTATGTTGTTTGAATTTTCAAATACAATGAAAAAAGTAGTGATAGCGCAAAACAAAAATAAAAGATTTAAAGAAGTAACATAATTGAATAGATAAAAATACACATACATTGAAGAATCACATTAGAACTCACATAAAGAGATCATAACCATATATTATAATATTTATAGATATTGCATTTCATAAGTCACAAAAGATAAATAATTCAAGAATGAATGTGAAAAGAAAGTAGAAACCGATTTTATTGTCGCTTAATTGTTTATTCACTTTAATTTGGAGTTGACTTTGCCTTCCATGAACATATAATTATTTCCTCAAAATAAACTAGGAAAGAAGTGTTAGGGGTTGTACTCATTTTCTTACCGTATTTGGTTTTCCTATTTCTTGAAGGAAGGGACAATATATTTACCATAATTGGATTTTTTTTTTTTGTAGAATAAAATTATAATTCTTCCATGTTTGGCTAGTCCCTTTTCTTGTTGGAAAAGGTTTGGAGTTCTATAAATTGAAGATCTGTCCTTCTCATTCTGTAGCATTCACAATGTAGCCATATAGGGTTTGCGAGTCGTGTTTAGGGCAAGAACTTTACGGGACAAGTGTTAGTGTGTCACTTGTGTTTGCCTCTTCGTGAGGTTGTTCTCTCGATATATTGTACTCTCTTTAATATAGCGGATTGCTCATCTCTGCCGTGGACGTAGGTCAATTGATCGAACCACGTTAAATGTTTGTGTCTCTTTTGGTATATTTCTCTTTTATTGTATAATTTATCGTCGTTCAAGGTTTGATTTGCTAGCTTACGCATGACACCTGATTTTTTGGTCTTAACAAGAAGGATGATCCATTGGACCAATGTACGTAGCATATTGGTAAAAACAAAATCTATGCATCCAAATGTGTTATCCTTTGGTAAATATGTTGAAAAGCCAAGAAAAATGTTTGCATCCGGTGACGGGAGTTCGAAATTTCCTCCAAAACTATGTGAACCCGTTCGCTTTGCGCCTGAAGCGTATAAGGGGGGGAGGGGGAATATATATATATATATATATCCAAAAAAACTTAAAACAAAGAAGGAAAGGTGTTGGGCTGTGCGGACAAAAGTTCACGTATATTCTTAATTATACGAGATATTTTGGAAAAGATCATACGGGCTGGATCGAAATTGAACAATATCACATCAGATTAAGAGTATTTTGCGAGTTTAATCCAATTTTTTTATTAAGAGCCAATAGTTCGACGTAACAAGTATGAAAACAGTAGAGTGATGACGTGGGGATCGGTTTGCGACCTTTACCAGGCCAAGGTAGCTTGGAGACACATGATGCATACTAGAAGAAACTAGCATATGTGGGCTTATATGGCCATTATGTACTCGAATAATTTAAGTGGCACACAATAAATTTCTGGGTAAGCCTATGAGGTGATGGAACATGTGGAATTTAGCTTAGAGGGGCTTGTAATGGGCCAATTATTGTGGAGGCTTATTGATGGATCATGGGAACTTAGTTCGAGGGAAATATTTTTAGGGTTTGTGAACAAAAATCTCATATTTTTAGCTGGAAAAAAAAAATTATATATAAATTGTAGATACTTTTAATAGCGTGAATCTATTCGAAAAAATCGTGTGAGTGTGTCCGAAAGTGACAATATTAGACCATGGTAAGTCAGGATTTTTTTTGCCAGTTTAGCCCAATCAAAAAAAAAAAGAAGCAAAAAGTCAATAGAAAAACATACGGCAAATTGGAATTAGGAAATCACTAAAGAAAGCTAGGTATATATGGAAGATTTTGAAATCATCTGCTGTCATGTTCTTCCCTGCCTTTCCTTACCTAACTAGACAATGATAAAGGACCTTTCCTTTTAACCTTTCCTTTTAGTTAGAAAACAAAAAGGCTGGTGCACAAGTATTCTTATATCATCTTTGTTCATTTGCCATCTTTATGGAGTTATATTACTGAACAAGTTCAGCATTTATTATTGGGTTTTTTTAATCTAATTAGATAAAATGTGTGAATCGGAAATGGAGGGAAAAGATTTAAAGGGAAACGAAAAGGTTAAAATTGTTTCCTTTACTAATGTATTTTATCCCTCACCGGAAAATGGAAAGAAAATTTTTGTGCTTATATAAAAAAGCACATCTTCTAGCTCTTAAAGAGTTAAAAAAAAATGGTGTCTCGAGCTGTCGTCGTCGTTCGGCTTCGGCCAATTGATATGATTCCCGTTTTCCGTTATATAAATTTTTTTCTAATATTTTTTTCGCGGAATTTTAAAATTTTAATTCTGGCGGACATACACCATTTCAAACGAATATGTATCATGGCACCCGTTGAAACCTAAATCATTGGCTATAAATACAGAGGAGTAGCCTCATTTTTCACCACCGAAAATCTGCATACTCTCCCATTTCTCTTTTGCATTTCTGCACTGTTTTTCAAAGCAAAACATAAGCATAAGTGTAATTTATTGTCGTTTGTTGAGTTCGCCGAAGTTCTGTAAATACCATTGCCAGTATTATAGAATAGTTGTTTTGGTATATCCCGTGAGGGATTAATCCAATAACCATGGGCAACAGTGAGGAGATTAAATTCCTTAAGGAAACACAGTTTTCTGTTGTGCTCGGAACATTTATTTATTTTGTTTCTGCTTCTGTTTTGTTTTATTTTTGCAGAAATTATTTTCGAATACAGTTTATTAACATTTAATTTGGCTTTCCGACTAGTCCATGCCATAGCAAAACTTCCTGAAATTTTAACAAATATTTGTCTGCTCTTTTCTCTTCAGCTTAGGAGTCTCATGCAGCTGCAAGTGCTAGTCTTGCTTAAACTCAGTGAATGTAAGCTCTTTCTATGAAGGATTGCTGCTTTTTGGTTCAAGTAAATATCCCAGGCAAGTTCAACTATAAATTGAGAGCAAAATGAATATTTTGTTGGGGCTCATCCATCTGAGTCTTGTTGAAGTTCTGAGGAACTGTTGTGGTAAAAGTTTTCTTGAAGTTGCAATGTATTGAACATAAAATAAAATAACAATCTTTATTCCTATTATTACTATTCCCTTTTGTTGTTTGTGGCTATTTTTTCATGGAAATTGAAGGGAAACTCCCATGTGGTGAGGTCAGAGGTATGCACAACATTGCTCTTCAAATTTCCAAGTGTTAATAGAGTAGAGGAGGAGGGAACCTGGGGTTCTTAGGTTTTCAAGATAATCACTTGCAGAGTAATTGCTTACTTCTCTAGGAATTGTTTAGAGAAGTGTCCATGAAGGAATTTAATTCCACATTGCAACTTAGAATTGTCAAATCCTTATTTTTTTATTTTTTTTTCTGTTGCCTTCTATTTGATCTTGTCTTTGGCAATTACTTATTCACTTACTACCATTTTCCCTCAAATTTCTATTTACTTACTCGGCTTAATTAGACTCAAACTCGGGCGCTTCCTCTTTGTTTTCACAAGAAAACTCCATCTCATTCATCAACCTCACAATTCCTTCATGAAGTAAGAGAAAAAGCTCTCATCTTTTCTTTTTGTACTCTCCAACAAACTTTCAAAGGAGCCATCTGATTGTATAGAACTTTCCTCTTTATCTTTTGCTTTTCCTTACCCCTTTTTGTCTTTGCAAAATATCGAAATTCATCAGACCAAATGTCCTCTACTAAGTATCTCCTTAGAAATTCAGTGCCATGGATTGCTGTTCTTGTTCCACCATACTTGTTTATTGCCAGTCTTTCAGGTTACAGTTTTCTTTCTATTTCCATCACATTTTGTGTTTTGGTCATATCTATCATAACTTTTACATACTCAAAACAAAAGTCTAGTATCTCGAAGAAGTCAGTCAAAACAGAAGAAGCAGGGCTCAGCCTCAGCAACCAGGTTAAGCAAAATGTATCAGAACCACAGCCTCAAAAAGGAAATTTGAGACAGGTTCAAGAACATATAGCAGAATATCAACTTGGAAATGCGATTGTTAACCACAAGAAGGAAATACAGGATCATGGGGTGTCTCAAAATCATGTCTTATATTGTGAGAGTGAGAGGCTTGATGGAAATACATCTTCAAGTGAAGATTCTAATATTCAGTGGCCATTCTCAGGTGAAAAAGGACAGAGCCCACATTGCTCTGATTGTTCAATTTCTGATGAGGAGAGCCTAATTGAAATAGCCCTTCCAAGTAGCCATTTTTTTTACTCTGAAAAGTATCCTAAATTATCTAGTAAGCAGCACCAAAATGTATTTGCAGATTTAGCCCAAGAATCCATCTTTCTGCAGCATAGCCTAGTGGATTACACAGGAGATATCAGTGACATGAATGAGGAAGACAATTTGATAGAGATTGACATATCCATGGGATCTATCAAGTGTTCAGCATTTGAAATTCAAGCATGAGTTGATATCTATTGATTCTTCTAAATGTCTAATTTGTTGAATAGTGTTAAAAGTTTTTTGATTTACTATTAAAGGTTGTGGTGGGATCTACTATTAAAGTTTTTTTATCCAGGTTTTAAATTCTATGGGTTCAGAATCGCAATTGTACTCAGGGGTGGAGGTAGAGTGTTGGGAGCGAGTTCGGTCGAACCAAGTAGCTTTGGTTCGAACACCGTATTTGTCTTAAAAAGTTCATTAATTATGTGTAAATTATTACTCTCTCCATTCACTTTTACTTGTCCACTATTCTAAAAATATATTTTCAATTTTACCTGTCCACTTTCGCATATCAAGAGAAAAATAATTTATTTTTAATTACTCATTTTAAATTATTTTCCAAAACTATTTAGACAAGCAAAAGTGAACGGAGGGAGTAGTTTAAAACCCAGCAACTTAAAACGATTAGAATTTCGAACTCATAAGTTTGAAATTTTGGGCCCGCCTCTAATTGTACCCCATCGCATCTAATTTAATGGGATCACAATTTATTATTTGTACATATTTAGTGATGTTTTTGGGCAAATTTACCGGGTATGAGCGAAAGTTATGAGTTCAATTGATTCTCCTCTAGATATGTCTTTGGTGGGATGGATATAATCCCTCTATTTTTAATTAGAATCTAGGGTTCAAGCCCCGATAGTAAGCGCGTTCCTTTTAAGGGTGCGAATCTAGATTAATGAGATACTCACTGCGAGTATCAAATACTCCTCCGGTTATACCTACAATATTTATTATTCATTTCAAATTATTTTTTCAAATTCAATAAAATATGCATCAATTAATATGAGTATCATGATAAATTATACACTTCATTTATTATTTTTAAGGGGCGTGAAAATCAAAACGTGTCAAGTAAAAGTGAACGGAGGGAGTACCAGATAAGAAATAAAAAAAAAATATTTTTTTGATCCTTATGGATTTGTGCTTACCCTAAAAAATTAGCTAGGTAGTAAAATTTAGAGAAAACTGGGAGCCACACTTCATTTCTTTGTTGTGGTCCACTGCTGTCAACTGTGAAGTTTGTGCTGCCTATTAAAAGCAACTTAGGATACCTATGGAAGCACTTGTACTCATGTGAACACTAGCTTTCTCATAATGCATATTAAAGTGTTATTAAATGTTTAAAGGTACCTCTGCCAATAAATAAGATTATTCTAGTTGCATTTCCCAATCTTCTTTTTGCTATCATTTGGCCTTACCTAATGTTCCAGTAGTTTGATGATTAGTGAATCTTGGAGCACAGTCTAAAGATCAAGATCACATGCTCTAATTAATTTATTCATTCCTAATTGGTCTTTTCAGATATTCCAAAAAATACAACTGATTCAGATTCGCAAATATATAATGCATGGCTCTATAATGGAGGATTTGAGTTTCCCCTATTTATTTTAAATTTTTGTAGATATATTAAGCTTGATTGCCATTAATAAAATAAAATTACTTATACGGGGCAACTTATTTTTCATTTTAAAACTGTTATCATGTTTACATTTGACGCTCTTTCATTATTCAAAATTACTATCTAATATGTTTGATTACTATTATTTATCTTGTTCTTCATAAATAAAAATTGATTAGTCACATAGTCAAATCCAATACGATTAAAAATGAAAAGAAAAAAAATCACGATATGAAAAGTTTACACCTAAAAAATGAATGTTGTAGAGAGTAAAATAGAAATTGTATTTACAAAATGACCATTCAATTACCCATTTCTGACCAAAAATACAGTTACCCTTTAAAAGCATAATCAAGAATAAGATATGTCAACATTTAATATAGATAAAACCACTTAACTGGAAAAATTATGATATTATAATTTTAGAAAACTAGTTTTAGTATACGCGCTTTGTGCGTGTATTGAACGTTTATCAATTAAAAGTGTATAGAATATTCATGTAATAACAAAATATTATTTATCTAACATAATAAAAATAAATTTTCAAAATGGATAAGCTACAGCCAGATAACATTTTTGTAAACGATCGGATAATTTTGGAGTTGACCTCAGTCAACATTGTTGGTAAACGACCCTCGATCAGTGTTTTGACGATTCTGGTAGGATCGTATAATGATTTTGGACTTACAAGCACATTTGGTAGGGGTCCCGGGCGACCCAAGACCGTCTCGGTGCTTATTGCGAAAAGTTGAAAAAATGAGTTTATGAACATTAAAATCTGAGCTTTGATGCTTGATTCTTAATTGTCAGTGCTATTTTGATATTTTGAGCTTACAAGCGAGTTTGTACNGGGGGGGAGGGTGAGTTTCATAATGGTTTCCGACCATTCTCGTACAAGTTGCAGCAGCTAATCTGCAGCTGGTGTGATGTGCATTGCGAACACGGAGCTTATCTCACGTTCGTGAAGGCTTATTTGGGTTGGGGTACTTTTACACGTGAACGCAATGGCCTAGGGGGATCTGGCATTCGCGAATGTGATTTCCCATAAACGAACGCGTTGGGGGATCTAGCATTCGCGAATGTGATTTCCCATACACGAACTGGTGGACCTTTATTCGTCACGAACGCGATAGCAGGGTTGTATAGGATAAAGTCGGTTCATATTAAATGCTCGAATGACAGAGTGACGCGTGGAACCGGGGGCTGATGGAAGATGAAGCGAATAGAAACCAAGACCGAGGACAACAACTTCATTGGCACCGGGTAGATCCCGAAAGGAACATTATCAATGGGAGCAAACGAATACTCGTCACAGATGACATTCAATAAAGAATATTCCTCAAAATTAAATATGTAGTTGTTACAGAGAATTTTGGCATTCATGACCTGCCGTTACATATTCATCAATGGCCCCCATTATTGTCATTTAAGAGGGGCTTGATCCTAGGACCTTGTTCCCTAGGTATGGCTATAAATAGTGGCTTCAACAACCATTGTAAGACACGCAAATTCTGACAAACTTAGGCTACACACTATTCCCAAGCTAAATAATACTTTATTTTTTGTCTAACGTTATTCTTATTCCTGCCCTCGGAAGCCTTGCTTCAGTAACCAAGCTATCTGCTATTTATCTCGATTTCAACGCTAAGACTTGCATTTTATTTAATTCATTTATTATTTTTGGGATCAAATCGATTCGCTTGTCTATAAACAATGCTATAAATTTAACTATACCATTTTACGGGTAATCAGTTTGGCGCCCACCATAGGGCTTAGACAGCTGCGTAACTGAGTTGATCCTTGCATCTATTACTAACGTGTTTGATTCTTTATTTCATAGCAAAAATTAAAAAAATGGCAGTTAATGATGTCAACATCACACACAACGTTGAGGCGCAAGAGAATCTGCCTCAACATGAGGATTCGATTAGTGACACCCGCAACGAGGAGGACGTAGCAACTCCAGTCTATGGTGGGCGTTATCCCCGACATGTGCGGGAGACAACTCCTGATGACACTGAAGACGAGTATGTTGCAGAGACAGTAAGTATCTTGAGGGAGCAGCAAAAGGCCATCATGGACCATCTCTCAAGGCAAGACCAGGCCATGATGGAACTGAAGAAAGCATTGTCAAGTGCCTCCAACAATGCAAATGGAAGAGGCCTTGTTCCTCCCGGTGCTCCCGCAAATCAAACAACTCAAAGGGTTGATAACAACACCCCGAGGGGAGAAGTTGGCTTCAACTGAACCTGGGGGAATGACAACGGGTCCGGTAACAATGACGACAAAGATCCTTTCAAGACCGAACTCATGATATTCATGAGGGAAATGAACGAGCGAATACATCAGAACGCAAAAGAGTTCTATGCTCGAATGGACAAAATTCCGGGCACACCACCAGTGTTGAAGGGACCGGACTCGACGAAGTACACCCAACTGTCGTTCAAACCAAGTGCAATACCAGAGTTGATTCCGAAGCAGTTCAAGATGCTGGACATACCGAAGTATGATGGGACATCAGACCCTCAGGAGCACATCACAACTTATACAACGACGGTGAAAGAAAATGACTTAGCTCAACATGAAATTGAGTCTGTCCTGTTGAAGAAATTCGGAGAAACCCTCATGAGGGGGCCTTGACATGGTATTCACTCCTACCCGAACACTCGATGGATTCCTTTGAAATGCTCGCAGATTCTTTCATCAAGGCCTATGCCGGGGCCAGGAAGGTCCAGGCCCGGAAGGCGGACATATTCAGAATATCGCAAGTGTCACGACCCAAAACGCAGGGCCGCGACGGGCACCCGGTGCCTAACACAACCGAGTACCAACGTAACATGTCTTTCTTATCATACCGTCATGGGTAAGTGGGCCAAAAGGGCCTTCATGAGATAATCAAAATAAAACATAAGGGAATATTAGACATAGGACGACCCAACATGATATAGAAACTTATACATGTGACATACGGGCCTATAAGGCCGACATGATCATTTGTACACTCAAAACATAGGCCGACAAGGTCATACAAGTATCCATATACATGTCATCTGTCTACAAGTCTCTAAAAGTACATAAACGTCATAAAGGTCGGGACATGGCCCCGCCATACCAATTAATAGATCTCCAAATTATACTGACCAAATAGGCAACTCCGGAGCAAGTGGAGTGCCCTAACACCCTCCGCTGAGCTGATAGCCTACTAGGAGGACTCTCAACTTATCTATCGGGACTTGCGGGAATGAAACGCAGCGTCCCCAGGCAAAAAGGACGTCAATACACATAAAGTACTGAGTGTGTAAGGCATGAAAGCAGTATATAAAGACACGAAAGAAACATGGAGTAAAGAACTCAACCTGTAAGTCTGAATAGCTCTGTGAATCATGAAACATTTATAATGTCATGAATATGCATATAAATGTCATATCATGCATAGGTATATGCGTACGTAACATCATCAAGCCTCTAATGACATCCCATCATATCATCTCGACCTCTGTGGGCGAAATCATCAACGTATACCAGTTGATCAGGTGGTGGTGCGTATATAATGCCATAACCTTTCTCATACCCCATATATATATACTATACGTGTATATAACACCATCTGGTCATGGGTCAATATACATGTATAAATGAATGCAATGCAAAATAAAGTAAGTCAATAAGATCTCTCGAAATGTCATGAGATCAATATGCCTTCGGTTAATATCATGAAATAAACTTTATCAACCTACATATTTTCT